AGGTGGGTAAAATGAGGACCCGGATTGTGGGGGCGATATGCTGACTCTGTAAACTGCTTAGAGAGAGCTGAAAGCCCTATGAAGCGGTATATAAGTCTAACTGCTATTGCTATTGCTATTATCTCCTTTGGGTATATAACTCTAAATCCCAGTATAATCATCTAATTCTTTTTTTCCTTTTTCAATCTCTTTTTCTTCTATGATACCTTCCTGTTCTTCATACAGTCCCTTTGCATTCTCCTTTCTTCCTTCTTCTTGTTCTAAGTGTTCCTTTATTTTTACTGTCAGTCTGTCCACCTGTATTCCTTTTCAAACTATGAGAGATGAATACCTCACTTAGCAACATGAATTTGGGGGCTCAAATGTGCTCGTACGTTGAGGACTACCTGCAGTTCTTTCTCATCCGAGCTATTATTTTAACTACTCCTCAAACCGACTTCTTCTTTTGCACCTCAACTCTGAGTTTGCTTGGCAAGGTCCCGCGATCAAACTCTGAAATGACATTTTTGGCAGTTCTCACTGCTGGCAAGAATTGTACTTAGCCTAATTAGATTTCTATTTTCCCCCAGCCTAGTTCGATCATCCGGGGTAGATTAGAGGTGGTTTATTTTTAGCACAATTGTACATTGATCCTTTCTTAACTAATTTACGTTCTGCTAGGGCCACCCTGCTTATTTTTCTAATGGACTTTTTTATTTGCTTGACCTCTGCAGCCATGAAATGCTCAGCTTCTTTGATATACCAGCATTGCCAGAAAGGTTGCACAAAGCACTGTGAGAATGGGACCAACCTGCACATTTGCATGGACTATCCAACCGAAGGCTGTTTCTGTCCGCCGGGGCAGGCCATCCTGGATGGCGCATGTGTTCAGGAAGACATCTGCTCCCAATGCATCAGCGAAGATGGAAGTCGCCATCAGGTGAGGCTTTCACTCTGGACTCCCATCATCTACTGCACAGGTTTGGGGAACGACGGCCCTTTTTGTGACTTGTGGACTTCAACTCCCAGAATCCCCCACGGCTGGCTGAGGAATTCTGGGAGTTGAAGTCCACAAGTCCTAAAAGGGCCATCGTTCCCTACCCCCAGACATGAAATCCTCTAAATCTTCGCTACCGGTTCGGTAGTGGGAGCGTGCACGTCTGGGCATGCGCAGCACCTTCTGTGCGCATGAGCAGAAGGTCCTTGATGACATCAGGGTGGGTGGGTGGAGCCTCATGCCACTGCCACTACCGGTTCGCCCAAACCAGTACGAACCGGCACAATACTACCTCTGCTGTTGCGTCCCCTTGACGCAGCCGGCAGCCAAGCCACGCCTTGCAGATGGCTGATTGGTCCTGGCACGGCTGCCGGCTGGCGGGAGAATTGCGGCCACCCCATTGGCCGCCTGCCTGACAGCTATCAGTATAAATAGCTGTCAGGCAGCGCTGTCCAGCGCGCGTGTTCTGAACTTGCTGTTAACTTACCGTTGTTAAATGAAGGTTCCAGTTATTTACCTCAGCGCCTCCTCGTACTTAAAATCTGCCTATCCCCTATCGCAGGGGTGTCAAACTGGATTTCTTCAAGGGTCAAATCAGCACTGTAGTTCTCCTCCATGGGCTGGCTGGAGGGCAGCAGAAGGAGACGGGACAGATGCCTCCCGTAGCACTCCGCTGGACAAAATGGGGCACGGGGGGGGGGCATGCACAGCGCCCCACAACCCGTTTTTGGCCTGGATGGCCTCCTGCAGCACTTTGCCAGGCAAAATGGGGTGCATAGGAGGGGCTGCATGCAGTCGCACCACATCCCATTTTCAAGTTGCATTCTGCTGGCCAAAACAGGACGCAGGGGAATGGACGTGGCCCCCACGCCCCATTTTGGCCAGCAAAGTGCTTCAGGAGGCCATCAAGGCTGAAAACGGGGTGCAGAGGGGCCCGTTTTGGCTGCCAGAGGCATGCTATGATTACATTTGTTATTATTTTTTTCTCATTTTATTAGAAGCCACCCAGAATAGCCCCACAGCGAAATCGGCTATTTTTAAAATTATAACAACCAAAGAAACAAATTGCAGAAATCTTATCCTTATTTTCTTGGGCTTTTTTTCCCCTCATCGTCGATACAACATGGAAAGTGCCACATAGTTTTCAAAATAAATAAGCAAGGTCCCTTCCAACTCTGTTATTCTATTCTATTCTATTCTATATTCTTTTCTCTTCTACTGTATATTCTACTGTATTGTATATTCTTTTTTACTGTATATTCTGTTCTGTATATTCTATTCTATTCTATATTCTCTTCTACTGTATATTCTACTGTATTGTATGTTCTTCTTTATTGCATATTCTACTCTGTATATTCTATTCTATTCTCTTCCCTTTGCTTCCCTATTCTATTCTATTCTATTCTATTCTATTCTATATTCTTTTCTCTTCTACTGTATATTCTACTGTATTGTATATTCTTTTTTACTGTATATTCTGTTCTGTATATTCTATTCTATTCTATATTCTCTTCTACTGTATATTCTACTGTATTGTATGTTCTTCTTTATTGCATATTCTACTCTGTATATTCTATTCTATTCTACTGTATATTCTACTGTATTGTATGTTCTTCCTTACTGCATATTCTGTTCTGTATATTCTATTCTATTCTACTGTATATTCTACTGTATTGTATATTCTTCTCTACTGCATATTCTACTCTGCATATTATCTTCTCTTCTCTTCTCTTCTCTTCTCTTCTCTTCTCTTCTCTTCTCTTCTCTTCTCTTCT